AGCAGCAGCAAATACATGCTAGGCTTTATTATTTTTGTGTTGTGTTGCTGCTGCTGTTGCTGCTGCAGCTGTCTCTCCCCTCAGCAGATACTGCTGCCCTATACTCTGCGGTGCAGCAGCAGCTGCTGCTGCTGCTGACGCAGCAGCGACCCCCGAGCACGACAGCAGCAGCAGCACCAGCACCAGCAGCAGCAACAGCAGCAGCAGCAGCAGCAGCAGCAGCACCCCGCAGATGCAGAAACAGCAGCAGCAGCAGCAACAGCACATGCCATGAAGGCGCGATGGACCCGAGCGAAAAACAGCAGCAGCAGCAGCAGCAGCAGCAGGAGCAGGATGAGGATTATGATCTTCAGCAGCAGCAGCAGCAGCAGCAGCAGCAGCAGCAGCAGCAGGAGGAGGAAGAAATGTATATGCATATGGAGCGTATATACCTGCAGCGGCTGTCTCCGTTGCTGTGTATAAACTGTGTTGCATATGATGATATAAGCGGAGACTGTTTAGATAAACAAAATAAAAATAAAAATAAAAATAAAAATAAAAATAAAAATAAAAATAAAGAAATAGGAGCTGTAAGGAAAAAAAATATCGTGGAGTGTATACGCAGAGCCGAAGCCTTTCGTTTGTTTGCTGCAGCAGAAAACAACAAAAATAAAATTAATAATCAACAAGTGCTGCTGCACCCCTCTGCTGCTGCTGCTGCTGCTGCTGCTGCTGCTGCTGCAGAAGGGGGCACAGGGAAAGGAGGAACAGCAGCAGCTGCAGCAGCAGCAGCAGCAGCAGCAGCAGCAGCAGCAGAAGATGAAGTTACACTAGAGACCGTCAACAGCTGCAACATAATGCATCTTAGTGCCCCTCTCAGCAGCAGCAGCAGCAGCAGCAGCAGCAGCAGCAGCAGCAGCAGCAGACGTGCTGCATCAGCAGAAGAGCTGCGGGCAGCAAAAATGGTGGTGCAGCCGCGTTTGAGTGGTTCTTTCAACAGCAGCAGCAGCAGCAGCAGCAGCAGCAACATAACAAACCCCAACAACAACAGCAGCAGCAGCAGCAGCAGCAGCAGCAGCAGCAACGCAGATGCAGTGGGTGCTATTGAGGGTTTATGCGGGTTTACCTCTCAGGCCCTACACCAGCGGGAGCTGTTCTCTCCTTTATATAAAAGGCGGCCTGCTGCTGTTTGTTCATCTTGTCTGCGGCAGCTGCTGCTGCTGCAGCAGGCGAGGATGGATGTGTTCTGCTACCACCATTTGCTGCTGCATGTGGCGAGACAGTACCCCAGAAACACCACCACCAGCAGCAGCAGCAACAGCAGCAGCAGCAGCAGCAGCAGTGCTGCTGTTGTCTTCGACAGCAACACCGCATTGTCTTTGCTCGCCAGGAAAAAACTTTTGCTGCTGAAGCTCAGAGACATACTAGCTCTCATTCCTATGCAGCAGCAGCAGCAGCAGCAGCAGCAGCAGCAGCAGCAACAGCAGCAGCAGCAGCAGCAGCAGCAGC